CTTAGCTACAGCTTTGTGCATCATACAAAGGGCTGGCGCTACGCAATTTCCTACCTGATGCAATCTTTCTGGATCCTAAATTCTAAAATTTTGAAATTTCTTGATTTTGTTGCTCGGTGTGTCACTAAATTCTAAAAATTATGCTACATCGGCTCTGTAACTGGCCCATACCGTATATCATTTTATATTTATTCTGAATGTTCACATCACTAAAGAAATAAAATCAGCACCTTTTCCTATAAAATCTATGTGCATTTACTTTTTTAGAATAACAGAAATATTTAATTAAATCCAAAAATTCTAAAATGAAGACGAAACGTATTGAAAAAAGAAACCGAATATATAAAGAGAAAGAAAATTATTCTTCAAAGATATGTACAGTTGTTATTATGTAAATTAAGCAGTTGTGTATAATTTCAGCCTTTGCTATAATTTCTCCTTTCCATTTCCTCACCAGAATGAAAATCACCTAGATAATTTTTAAACTAAGGTTTTGGAGTTGTAAGACAGAATTTGTTTCTTGCCTCCGCTTGCACCCTGAATTAATTCCTACCAGCTCTGATAATTTGTAATTATTCGTTTTTGCGTTATCGCTGCCGATACTTGAATTTGTTACGCGATAACTAGGTTACGACGAGTTACAAGTTTGTTAAGGCGTATTACTACTGAGCCAGCTTAGATTAAAATTAAATTGTCCGGTCTTTGACCGTTAGTCCACATTTTTAGTTTGAATTTGACTTTTACTGTTTAATTGGATCACCATAAGCTGTAGTTTATTTTGCTAGCGTAAGAACATGCCTTTATGTTCTAAGGTTTTATTAAAAAAGAGGTTAATTATTTTTAAACCTTTATCTGACTTTGTAGTTACCTTTAGACATAGCAATAATTTGCTTCATGTCTGTCAGGGGTTTGGGACTATTTAACGTTTACCAGATCAAGTAAAACCTCACAGGTACTTTATTAAGAGATTGCCAAGTTAGGAGATAAAACATGAGAAACTAGTGTAGCCAAGTTAGGAGATAAAACATGAGAAACTGTGGTTTGCATATTGAAACAAATTTCTTATTGTTATAAAAGATGCTTTTAAAGAGAAGGAAACTGATATAATAGCCAGAATGTCTGGAATGGCTTCAAATTAAAAAAAAAGACGCTCACATATTTTGCCGAGTACTGTTGCTACAAAACGTAAATGTTTTGTAGCTTTTAATGTGTATCGTTTAAGAATCATCTTAATGTCGTTTAAGAATCAATGTCATAAATAACATGTATTTTAAATTGTAACATGTTAATCGATTGTGATTTTAATAGTGCTTTTTTAACAAATATTTTTAAAAAATAAATTTAATAGTAGCCATGTAAATCTATAATGACTAAGTACCCTTATCTAACTAGCTAATGTAATTATTTGTAACTGCCTGAATTTAACGTGAAACTTAATTCTTTACATCTAGTGAGACTTAAATTAATACAAAACAGCTTATCACCTCTAATGCTTTAGTTGCTTATTGGAACCTTAAAATATATTAACTGGGTTACAACCCCAGAACTCTACACGAAGTTATGACACAAATTGCGTCTGACAAGCCTGAACACAACTAACTTTCAAAACTTGACAAGTGGGCCTACAATAAGGCTTTTGTTTTGTCAGCAGGCCTCTCTCTAGGCAAGCAGTAGCGGTGGCAACAGCCAGTCTTCTGTAAGGAGTCATGCTGATTATGATTTTCTTCTCATTTTAACCTATGCCGTTTGACATAAAATCTACCCGCTATTTACTAAACCTCTAAACTGAGCAAGTACGTGACAAAATGAGACATAAAAGAAAAATATCAACATAAAGCTAAATTAGTAAAATGTAAATAAAATGTCACTAACCTTCTATCAAATATGTCCAACTATTATAAAGGTAAAATATTTAATGCTACCTGATAAATTTAATAAAGTTTATTTTATTCACAGATTTGATTTATAATTATGTTTATTAAATTATGTTTAACAATAATGCATTCTACTTGTGGATCTATTTTATTCTTAGGACAGTATCACGTAAGTGAAGTTCAGGCATGGCTAGTATCTTTAATTGAATTTATTCAATTCCCATTTGTTGATGGGTCCTTAATGTTTTTCATTAATGCTCCTTAAAAGTACTTAATTTCCATGTGTACGAACCCTGACAAATATTACATAGCATGTCAAAGAAATCTTAAAATTGCAGTGTAAGAAATCCAGAGGGCTAAATCTTGTGTATCGCTTCCGAATTAGGATCTCCCCATCGGTAAAGTCATCAGCCATATAATAAACAATGAAGTTCGGTTTTAAAAAATATTTTACACTTCACATTTCATGTTGCTTTCAAATCGTTTATGAGTTTCTATTTCCCGCTTTAGGCAGTCCGCTTCCACATGAACGTAAAGTTTCAATACCACTTCACCATTTTTCTTTTTGCAAAAATCTCTTGGAGCTACTCCAAGATCTACCAGAGAGATTCCTTTATCCAAAGACTATATACATAAATATCTTGAGAGACTGGTCTAATTAAAATCTCCAATTTTCTGCAAACCCAGACAGTGTGACAAGATTGTCTGGATTCTCAATATTTAATCCAGTTAAAATACAATTTACTGTTTTCACTCAAATATATTCTTAAAGTTACTCCATCTCATTCATTTCTCCGTAATTCGAACGAAAGTTTACTTCAGTTATCTTCAACTTACGTTCAGCAGTAATTTTATCTAGGCATGTGGACAAAAATACGAAAGCATCCAAGTAATCATTATTACCATTTTCAACTTTCATTTTCTCAAGAAAGGAATACATCTGTTAAACAGGACAGATAATAGAGTTGCTCCGAGAGTTTCCTGAAGTATCCACATTTCCCCTTGGCATTCCTCCAAAGATAAAGGTATCAATTCCGCATTCATCCATTTTCAATATCCCCTACTGTAAACTCTATCAAAATAAATTAACATAAGATAAAGAGTGTTTAAAATCTAATCCAGGTGTTGAAATATATACATATGCAATAAAATATAGAATTTTACTTCCATTCAATACATTCACCAAGCCCGAATAAAATTTACATTAAACATAATTTAAAAACTACAAAACATATATAAAAATATTAAAAACCACACACCATACTTAAAAAGAGAAATGCACAATAAAATATATACAACTAATTAGAAAGGAACGTACTGCACATAAATATAAAAATTGTCCAAAAGTCGTAATAAATTGTTGCATTCAAAAAGGAAAGGGACCTTTGCTCTGCTGGACTCGAAGATCTTCAAATCAATGCTTCAAAAAACTTAGGACTCAAAACCGAAGTTCTCAGTACAACAACCGCCTCGTTAGGCTTCGTAGTTACCAGAACGAAATGTGCTCATTTATTCAAAAATATGTTATTTAAATTCGAACAAACACTAAAACTAGTAAAAAAGAAACTGATTTCACGTCTATTTTAATCAAATTCTGAAATTCGATGTTCCTATGTAACACGCAGCACATTCAACAGTTACCGAACTTTAAAGCTGTTAATTCCTTTCTTCAACTTCAGTCCAATATGGAGGCCCCATATTGAATTGGCGTCGTCGATGATCCAGACAGCTCGCCTATGTAACAATCGGGATCATCGTCGATGATCTAGACAGCTCGCCTCTTTTTAATGACGAAAAACTAGTTGATTCCCAGGCAGGTGGAAATTATGTTGCGCTTTTGATGTAACGACTATTTCGAATGCTACACTCTGGAGCCATTTCTTCGTACTTTTTATCATCGAGCTTAATGTATTACGATAGTTAAATTGGGGAAAAAATCATAAAAGTTTATAATCGTTTAAAAAGTTTATATCAGTTTAAAAAGGGCCGTAGGTCGCAAATTAAAAAAAAAAATGGGCATGGGATGTTGGTTACTGATATAAGATAAAGAATGCAGCCTCACGCAGTTTTGATGTACAGCAACGGTTTTCTAATAAACTCCTCTTATATAAATCTATACTTCAACCAGCATTACTCTATGCTAGTCCTGTCTGGGGCCACGCTGCCAAAACTCACCTTCAACACATCCAAGTTCTTCAAATCAAAGCACTCAGATCATCAACGCGGCTTGGTTCATTCCAAATTCTTATTCGTGATCTCAAAGTAGATACAATTCAAGATTATATTCAAAAACTTGCCAGAAATTTCTTCTAGTCAGTTCTCACTCATCCTAACAACTGCATCTAGAATACGTTTAAACTTAGATGTTCTCCATTTCCCAGAGAAAAGCACAAATATCTATCTGACATTCTCCATCCTTAACATTTTTTACTTATACTAGATTCTTCAGTTCACTGATTTGGACCTTCAACCAGACACTCACCTTTTTCGTCGACTGATGGCGGCGACCTGACTTTTACTTTCGTCTTTTTGTTTTACTGATGTTGTTCACGTGATACAGAGTAAAAGGAGGCGTTGCTTCCTGAAACTCAAATTCATTATATGTTCTTAGTAGTAGCAACGGTTTTCAGATTACCACGCGTCTCCGAACACCGGCTCTCATTTCCGGGAATAGAATAGGGAATGAATTACAAATGCTTCATAGCTTTAACGGGTGACTCCCTGTATTGTCCGAACGAAATGTTAAAAAAGCTTGTAACTTTTCAAACATAAACCCTCAAAAAAGTTATAATTATGTGGTTGTGAATGGTTCATCACAATATCAGCTATTTTATAACAAGTTTGTACTTGTTATAAAATAAATAAAAAACATTAAGTTCTCATTTTTTATTGAAATTAACCTTCTGATTTTTAGTTTTTTACCTCTTCCATTTTGGAGCCTTTGTTATTTAAAAGTTTGTTTGTTCTAGTATTTTAACTTTTTATAAAAAGGAATTTATTACTATTGTTATTGCTGGAAGTAGAACAAAATAGCAAGTATAAAACTGGAGAGAATATTATGATATGTAAGAATTTGTTATCATGTATGATATTGGTAATTTCTTTTAATCTTCTCTTCCTAACTAGATGACTGTTTACCAGATATGTGTAGTGATGAAGGACCAGATATACAACCTTACCTGGATTTGCTTTATGTACTTGAAAATAACATTAATTTTACATTAAGTTTGCCAAACAGCAGTTGGTGGATGGTGAAATTCTACAATGGCAATATAACGAGGGATGAATTTGATTACGAATGCGCTTGCCCACTGCGTAAACAGGATGATCAAGTCTTCATCACTTTTCATCTTCAAAATATGTTAGATATATGGTACAACTGGGAAATTGGCTCCAGTACTTTTAAATTGCAGGGCACTATTCAAATTACATCTTGTATCGATGACTTGAAAATCCATTTATTGGATGAGTAAGTTCTTTTTGACACATTTAAGTAACAAAAATAACGTACTGTGATAGAGTCGAAACTCAAAGCAACTTGAAGCAAACTTTAATGTACGCAACCCTTAAAAAAATGTCAGTATTAAAAAAAAAAGCCGTGTATGTTTACAACTCTCTTATGATTAAAATGAAAGGATTTGCAGTAATAAATTAAACTAGGTCATTTTCATTAAAACATAACCAAAATATTAAGAATATGAAAGAGAAATGTTTACTAAATTTTCCTTTGATTTAAAATAAAACAATCTGGCAAGCGTTTGAAAGAAGTGAAGAATTTTATTCAAAAGAATCACACGAGAATATTTTTGGGAAAGCTTTTTGTTAACATTTTCTATGTTTGATCTGAAAAAAATATTTGGATTTTACGGAGTTTTCCCAATTAATAATGCTTCAAATTGCGTAAATGTTTCTAAATTTATTTCATTGCGGACAATAAATACGAATTTTATATGTTAGAAAAAGGAAAGAGAAATTTATGCATCGGTATTTATGGAAAAGTAGTTATAATAATGTATGAATATTCTACATACTTTATCAGGACTACTATTCCTCCTTAACTGCTTTGCTAACATGATGTATCCTGAATGGGAACAGGGAGCTTACTGGAAGCTATGTTCTGTGGAACTGTAAAATAGATGACTAAGATGCGAAGGGTTTAACAACCCTTTATTCTCCACGATATTACAGGCGCTCCCGCACTTCGGGATACAAAGACCAACCATTTATGGTCTGAACGTAAAAATATAAGAAATACTATCTAACTAAATTTAAATAAGAGCTAACTTTGAATACTTTATACAGATGACTAACACTAAGGTTGGTCTTTTAGTTTATTACGTATGTAGATCGCAGACTGCGGAAAACTAGAATACGTTTTAAATATCGAGACGACTAAACCTCTGGCTTTAAAGGCGAACAGCCAATGATTGAAAGCTCGCGTGGAATGCAGTGGCAAGGAGGCTCATTTTCTCTCCATGTATCTCAGTTCTTGGCGAAAATACACAACTTAAATACTTAAGCGTTAGCAAGTACAATTTGTATAAACATATTCACGCCTTTATTCTGGCCGGAAGTGGAAAATAAGAGAGGACAGTAAAGTTTTAAAATTAAATAAACGTTAGTAACACTTAAGATCCTTACAACTTAATTAAACGAAAATAACACACTGCTGGTCATTAAAATTGCAGCACCAGGAAGGAATGATCTGACTAACGTCAAACTCGCATGAAAGGAAAAAGAAGTTGGGATATGCAAATGATTAGTAGTTCAGCGCATTTAGACGACGCAGGAGGAAGAAAAAACATCTGAAGTACTGCGTAAAAAAAACAACTGTGTAGTAGATTTCTCATTCGGAAAGTGCTTTATAAAGTTGGAGTTTGCTCAGAATATCGTGTTATGCCTCGAATAAGAAGAGGAAATGCTTACCAGCAAGTTTCGAAATTCGATACAGGCAGGATCGTTGCCTATCCAAAAGTTCAGATTATCATTCCGTGATATCGCCAGTCGCACTAGTCGATATGCAACCACTGTCATGTGACTATGGAATCAATGGATTGCTGAGGGCAGGATCTCAACTCCTTCCCATGACTAACGCCAGAGAGGAACAGACAAATTATGAGGTCAGTCCTGCAGGACCGTACGACCACATCAGGGACCGTCAGGAAATGGCACGCTCAGTATCAGCTCATAAGATGCATCGACGTTTGCCGCAGCGTGGACTATCAGCAGGGTGACCATTATTTCGGCTTTCCTTGACAATGCAACACAGAGAAAGACTGCAACTCTGGTGCGCCAAACGACAAAGCTGGGTACAGGAATGGCACAATGTCGTCTTTTCAAACAAATCCCGATTCTACGTGCAGTATTCTGATGGCCGTATACGTGTCTGGAATGACCGACGAAACCGCACATCACCTGCTTGCATTCGATATCGGCATAGGGGCCCTGCACCTGGTGTGATGGTTTGGGCAGCCGTACACGACACGCACATCTCTAGTTTGGATCGACGGTAATTTGAACGCAGATGGGTTCATTTCTGACATCTTACGTCCAGTGGTTCTGCCCTATCTTCGAGGCCCCCCAAACGCCATGTTCCAACAAGATAATGCAAAACCACATGTTGCACGTCGGATTCTGACCTGCCTCGATACACAGAGTACGCGATTGCTGCCCTGGCCTGCAGGGTCTCCAGGTCTGTCACCCATTGAAAACATCTGGTCATGGGTTGCTGAGAGACTGGCCCGCCACCCATCTGCAGCTAATACGGTTGAAGAAGTGTGACATAGACTTGAAGCAGCATGGATGACTTGCCCATTTCTGTCATCCAAGCACAGCCTGACTCCATGCCTAATGGTATGGGGGGGTCGTTTTAGCTGGCAGAGTTGGCAATTGTTTCTACTAATTTCACACCCTTGTAAACCTCCTAAAATGCTCATAAATTTAATCATTTTGTCTTCATACCATACTGTTTACGTGCAATAAATATCCTTTTTCTATTTGCTCTCCAGGCCCACCAGCGGCCGAGGGGTAAAGACGCTGAACACTGGTAGTTCAGTCCGAGGTTCGAATTCCTGGCTGGCTGCATGGGCATTTTCGTGGTTTCCCCCCATGTGTAACGTGTATAAGAGCCAGTTTCCCTTAGAAAGTCCTCCACGAAGGCATCCCTCCCTTTAGGCATGTAGCCCTCGTGAGCTTTTCCATAATTGAATAATCCCAATCCCTCTATTTTCTCTCCTTCATGGTGTTGCAATTTTAACGGCCAGCAGTGTAGTTGGACTTACTAAATTTCAGCTTTTATGTACAAATTTATTTCGATGGTCAAGAATTCATCGATATGCATTTAAATATTGATTTTAAGTACGAATATCAAATATATTAAGTTTAAATGTTGATATACCCATAAAAAATAAATTAATTTTAGATAGTAAGCATGGATAAGATATGTTTTTGAGGTCTTCATATGTTTAATTACACATCAAAATGAATAGTTGGATGAATTAAAATTTTGTCTTTATGTAAAAAAAATTATTTCGATGATTAAGAATTCATTGTTAATTCGATTTAATATTCATTTTACTTACGAATGTCAATATACTTGTATTAAGGTTAGATAGTTTAAGTGTAAATGTTGATATTCCCACCTAAAATAAATTATTTGTAGATAATAAAATAAGTTTTCGTTGTCTGCGTATTTACTGCATTGACTAGGCAAAGTAATAAGGATAGCTATGACATTAATTTGATATAAACCCTTCGATGCACATGGAACATGGATGTTTTCCTTCAATATGGAATGCACCCAAATTCCATGCATACTGTATCTTGCTATGTAATTATGTAAACCAACTCATGTAAATGGGTAGAAACTTAATTTGAGTTATTTTGACCACGGATGGTCTATCTGAAATATCGCTGATACAGTATTATATTAGCTAAGTGTTTGGGATGTTAGGAATTTCGATATCAACCATTTCAATGGCTATCCGTTTACCAGAGAAGCACGTTCGGGGCTTCAAAAAGCAAATGTCGTGTACAAGCCTTATAACAAACTTGTCAGCATAGATTTTCCAAGTTTAAAGAGTAGATGTACAAATTACAGAGAGCTGCAATGGCGAAGTTCGCCAAAAAGTCATTGAGCACACTATACGACCAGTGCTGCACTCCTTTGGCTGCAGGAGCCAATGCCCTGTACATATTCCACTGTGGATTGTTCATCATCATCTTGAAAGAGGTTTCGCCTGATGTTAACTCTGTTAAAACTGCTTACTTTGAAATAGACTTTTCAAGGCTTTTTGAAACTCTCCCATTTTAGATCGTAACACGAGTCGTCATCAGCGCACAGAACTTATTTCTCCATTTCATTTGAGAATGTAGTTCAAGTTAACCTTCATTCGTGCACTTTTCACGAAGCGAAATATGGTGGACGGAAATGAAATGGAAAGAAGGCTCGACCATCTGGGCCACAAGTGCTGTTACTATGATCACCAGGCAAGCCGGAAAGGCAAAAATTACCCTGTAGTGCATACTCTAAAATAACAGAGCAGTAAATCTTACTCTCAGCTATACCAAATAAACGACAGAGATCTATCGAATGATGTCATGGAACCATCCTGCTAGTTTCGTTTTACTTCAAGATCGTCATTGTGTTCCTGATTGTACAATACCACATAAAGGAAAATGCAGGCGTATCAAATAAGGTTTCTATGACTTGCCTCCTATTAAGTGCTGATCTTGCTGTCAAGTCTAACTTTACATCGTGAAGGCTTTAAAAATTAAAAAACAGGCAATGATTTTTGAATGCATTTAAAGCAAATTACCATCCGTGTTTCAATAACCTTTTTCAGAAAAGGTACTAGCAATGAAATCAGATGAAAATATAGATAAATTGCCTTTATTTATCGTATAGTTCTTTTTTAATTGGTTCTGTATTATCTTTTATTAAGCTCATAAATAAACTATGTTAACATGTACTGGTGAAGTTGTGTATAATGCGAGTGCACAATCTTTTAGTTCAGTGCATGAAAAACTGAAGACGTACTTCTGCATTATAAAATAACGATTATGAAGTATTCTTCATATAATTTATAAAATTCCCCATTATATTGTGCTTATTACGAACACTAATGGGCAAATTTGTTTTCATTCATATACGTTCTTTTTATTGTTTCATTCATTTCATATCTTTCATTCGTGAATGTAGTTTCATTCATGATTTCATTCATGGAAATATTTCATAACTTAATCCTAATACACCTCTAAAATTCCTTTAGAGAAGTTTTTGTTTCACTAAAATTTTTATGCTAGGTTTTGTAGGGCCATTTTCAACTGTTTATTAATAAAACCATCAGTGTGTAGAGTTATTAGGATTTTTTTGAAGTAGGAGGCCTGAAAAATGACCACCTTTTACTTCGGTCGCCACTGTAGCGTCATTAAGATTTTTGAAGCAGGAAACACGAAAAATGAGCCGGGACTCAAACCTGGACCTCTCAAGTGCACGCCGAGTGTTGCTATCGTTACACCACGAACGCATGCAGAAATTATGGAGAAGATGCCTTATAAGTTTAATAATAAAAATGATTTTGATAAAATATTGATCTAAACTTACTCAGAAATTTTATCTCATAAGTTAGAAGTCAAAGTTGTATAAATAAATTTGAATTGTAGAAAATGATTTACAAAGGGAAAAAAAAAAGATGTTTGCATATAAAATATCTTCACATTTAGTATTAACTATAGAGCTTTTTTTTTAATAAGTAATTGCAAACTGGTTGGATCTTTGCAAAATTCTCAGATCTCAAATTCGGGACTTTCGCTTTGTGAACCGATATACTATCTATTACACTTCAAGAAGAATGCTTTAATCGTTTTCATCTCAAGCGCCTAAAAATAACTCGGAGAAACTTTAAGATCCTCAGATGAATGATCATGATGATGAATTAGAGCCAATGAATTTTTAATGTTTGGCGTAGTTATAGAGAAGCAGATGAGTTCAGAACAAGGTATTGTAGGATTCAGCGACTGAAAATATTTGTCCAGTCAGTCAGTCACCAGTTAACTAATCAATCACCTTTGACAATTAATTCACAAGATGTACGAATGTGTCACATAATGTCTTTGACATGTGTCACATAAGGTAGAGGCTCACCAGCGACCGAGCTGTAATGTCATTGAACACTGGTAGTTCGATCCGATGTTGGAATCCCGCGAACGGGCTGGCTGCATGTGCGTTTTCGCAGTTTGTCCCATGTGTAACGTATATACGAACCAGTTTCCTTAGAAAGTCATCCACGAAGGCATCTCCCCCTTAGGCACATAGTTCTCGTGGCTTTGCCGTGATCATATAAACCAAACCAAACCATAAGATAGAACAAAATGCCAAATCATAATCTGAAGGAAAACTTAAATCGGATAACTATACAAGAGTGGGCCACTTAAATGTATCGCAATACAGTTCAACAATCATTTGAACAATGAGAGATTAGTAGCAAAAATGTACTTTTTATCAGTGTTAAAATTCTTATTCATCATTATTATCGTCCCAAAGCACAAACAAATTGCTCAAATTCGTACGCAAAATTTTTACTTTTATCTTCTTTATGTGCTATTAGTGTTCATATTAAATTTCTGATGCACCAATAGTTGGTCCGTGTGAACTACATAATTCAGATATTGAACATGAGTGATTTGTATTCTCCAGAGACTGAGTAGTAGTCTGAGAATTAATAAAGATCACGTTATTTTCTTGCCTCGTATTCAAGGTCTTAGCAGCAAGGAATTTTGTAAAGATCTCCTCATCTATCACAAAATTTTTCTACAATTTCTTTCAGCTAAAAGAACTAACATAAAATTGCATAACCTGCATTTCCCACGTTAGTATTCCATTTTTATACTGCAGATTCATCAGTATAAAAATGTAGCTGTAAAATCTTAGTATACGGTACGGTCTTGGCGCGATTTTGAAAATTGTCGCCAAAATCAAAATCACTCGTTTACTTCTCATCATAAATACCGCGTTTACAGCTCATCATATTTCATAATGACCAAATTTTCATAATGTGCATAATTCACAAGTGCACATCAATATCGCCACTGAGGGAAGAGTTTCAATAATGGACCAATGAGCTTCTATTGCTCTTGTGACGCTAAATCTTTGAAACTGTGGATGCGCATGCTCTTGTTTACGTTTTGTTTCGCAGTTATATATGTGTGGCGTATAAATGCTGCTACCATTTTAGTAGAAAATCTCATAGTGCTTTCATTTTATAATTTTGTTTAATCTTCACCATTTCTCTTTCGTGAAACTTATCATGCGCTGATATTCGGATTAATGTTCCTGGCATATTATGGCTCTTTACATCGAGAAAATTATTCAAGGTGCAATTAGCATCGAATATTATTCGTTTACTAACACCTGTGGATTAAGCGAATTCAAGTGTACAATTTTTTTACTGAGCTAAGAATAACTGGAAGTGTTACAATGAATCTAGTATTTTCTTATCTCAGTGCTTGCATTCCTTTGTTTTTGAAAGTGTAAGATCCAAAACATATATTGAGAATGATCTAATTATACATATTATTAACATTAAAAGTTTCTACGAATAGATTAAAAATATTCGTTGTGAATAAGATACGTCCATTCGGTCTGTATTTCTTGCGCAAACCGTACGTTTAAGAGTGAACAGTTATTAATGTGAAAATTAACGCACTAAGTATATAGGAATTGAAATTAGGAAAATTGACTTTGAATAAAACTGTGCATTGGCTTTTATTATAAAACACATTTTTCGTATCGACTGCAATAAAAATTGCTAAGACGGCTATTATTTACATATATAATTATGCTTGTATTTAATATAACTTCGCGATGAAAATTTTCACAAGAAATTAATTAAGAAGCACTAATTATTTCCTACAGGAAATTGCTTGTTAAAACATTTACAACCACCTTGCTTAAAGCGCGGCAAAGGTCATGTAAAATGCCAGAAATATTACTAGAAGCCCATTGGTCCATTCTACAGGGTGATGCTAAATTGTTTATAAAAATTAAGAGGGGTGATAGTACTCATCTAGAGGAGCAATAATTACCATAGTTCATAGGATCGCATTCCACTCTGAGAAGCAGAGAAGAGGAATATTAGAATTTCAACCTGAACTTAAATAGTGTTGGGAGAGCGAATGAACGAGACCAAAAGTTACACAATCAGTTTAGTGAAAAAGTCACAGAGAGTGCAAAAAACCGAAAACTTGCCGTAGGAGAGTTAAGTCGAGGTCAGACTTAGATGACAAACACTCAGATGCATATCATTGGTTGGCAAAGTCTCAACCTCGCAAACGATTGCAGCAAGTTAATTATCTAATCATGGGCTGAATATTATCAACTAACTCCACTCCAGCTGTATGCCGATATTAACATGAAAAGTTCATGCTGTGCTCCGGCTGTCAGAACTTCGTGTCTCAAAGAAGAGAGCTTCAAGTAGAATGAGCGTAGCAGAGTAAATTCAAGAGGACAGGATAGAAGATGGCGAAGGTGAAAAAAACTGCTACCTATACTAGATATCAAGATAGCAGTTTCCCCCCAATAGATAATTCCCCCTAATAATTTAGATAATTAACTTTTTGCAATTATTTGCGAGGCTGAGACCTTGCCAACCAAAGATGTGCATTTGAGTGTTTGCCATCAGAGTCTGAACTCGAATTAACTCTCGAAAGCCATTTTTTCGGTTTTATCCGTTTTTTGCACTCTCTGTGAGTTTTTCACTAAACTGATTGTGCAACTTTTGGTCTCGTTCATTCGCTCTTTCAACACTGTTGTAAGTTCAGGTTGGAATTCTAATATTCCTCTTCTCTGCTTCTCACAGTGGAATGCGACCCTATGTTCTATGGTAATTATTGCTCATCTGGATGAGTACTATCAACCCTCTTAATTTGTAAAAACAATTCAGAATCACCCTGTAGAAGCCTCGGTGGCTCTACAGATGTGCGCTTACGAAATATGTGTACCCCATACGAAAATTCAACCAAATGTAGCCTTTCAGAAAATGCTTATCTGTCCCAAATGATATTTCTCATTCCAAAAGATTTCAAATGTGTTTTAGAATAATGATTTTACATGAAAGAAGTGCTGAAAATTTACTTTGGCAGGTTTCAAACCATCCACAGTGAGTGTGTTGAGAAACGATTGTCTAGTAATATCTGGCATATCAAGTTAAGTACTGATATTATACAACCTAAACAAGCGTTTTTTATCTGTTCGTAGCATATTTTTCAAGTAATGATAATTTCTTCTCGACAATTTTCTGTCTTTTTTCCTCTGATGAGGCAAAGTTTCAATACCAGCCTTTTCTATTGGTTGCACTGGAATGTATTTGCTGCTCTTGTAATTAAACTAAAAGTACAGTTTTATGTAACATCGAATTTAGATAAAGTATTCTCAGAAAGTTCAGACAAAGGTTCAGATGCATAATAATCAATAAATCGGACAAGACACATATGCTTTAATTACAGCCAATATAAAACTCTTTTCCGTTATCTTCTTTAATCATGTGTATTATGTGTTATTTCAAAAAATTACAAAAATGCATCTATTATCACTGTCACTCTGAAAAACATTGATTTAAAATCGATTTCTTTTTAGGTATGGGGGATACAAGATAAAAGAAGTTGAAGTAGAAACCCAACGGATTTTTAGCGTCATTATTTATGGTGCATTTTCCGATTACTTCGACAAGTTGCCGCAGGAATATTATGAAATGATTGTACAAGCATCGTCAGTTCCTGCGAAGAAAATTATCGAGGAGACGTACTTTAAAGCCTTTTCGCAACTATTGAAGAAGAGGTACCGCAGAAAAAATAATACAACAAAATTAATTAACGTTATTACCAAAGAGAGTGCATCGCAGAGTAAAAAACACCAAAAATTGTGAGTAATATCATTTGAATTGCATCATTCACAGTTCTTATCAATTGTATTTTGAACATTTTTATTTCTGTAATAAAGGTGTGTTGTTTTCCAAATGATCAGATTCAATTTATTTAACTGTCTCATCACCGATAATTTTGAACTACAATCTACATTCTTTTTTCGAATAATATTCCATCATGAAACAAAAAAATATGTTTACAAATATTCTAATAACAAAAAATATGTTTACAAATATTCTAATAACAAAAAGATATGTTTACAAAAAATACAAATATTCTCTATTCGTATAACGTAAAAAATTAATTAATTTAAAATTTAATTGATTTTTAAAATTAAATTAATTAATTGATTAAAAATTTAATTAATTAAAAAATAAAATTAATTAAAAATTTAATTACTTTAATTTAAAATTAATAAATTTTAATGTTTCTTACTGAATATAGTTAAGAATCCGAAAGAAAAGAAGGCAATTTAAGCAGATTTCATCCCATTAAAGGAAGAGTCATAGCAGTTTGTTTTGTTACTCACTTCTTACGTTTTGGAAGCGCCAAGAATTTGTATATTTCAATGACCATTTTCTGTAGGACAAAAGAAAAAAAAAAAGAATCATTTCTGTTTATCGGATGAATTAAAATAATAAATTCTCTTGTGTTAGTTACTGTCATATAATTTTCTGTTTTTGGAGCATTTTAGAACAACGGTTCTCAACCGGTGGTAGGCGTACCACTGATGGTACGCAAGAGAAAAATAGGTGGTAAGCAAAGGAGTACAGTATTTTTAAAGTGTTAAATTCAAAAATTAAATATTCCAACATGCTGTTAAAGATTTTTCTCTAACACTCTTAAATTTATGCGATCTGAGCTTTTTCAAGGACTTCAGCAAAATATTTTCACAAATAATTCTTTTAGTTCTACAAATATTATTTTAACCTTAGATATAACAAAATTTGTCATAAATGATGTTTTTCAAAGGAATAATAGAAATGGATGTTGTATTTAATAGGAAAATAAAAATAAGTTCCTATAAAAAGATAATAGTAACTAATTAATTCTTTTAGAGTTGATCGATTTATTAGGATATCTTTACTTACGTCGCCACCATTTCCGGGGTCATTTACTCAATTTTTAATTAGACAAATGTTTTTACGTCGATTTTTTGTCTCTAACAGCAGGTATTTTGTCTTCTTTTTGCTTTGTATACTGCATTTCTACGCGATTTGAGAATACCGTCTTTTTTTGGGGGGGGGGGGAGAACTCATAATATATTGTGCATTTAAATAATTGTGAAAAAATAATAAAACAACTTTTTCAAAATGGAAAGAAAAATTATTAGGACTGACTAAACGGAAAAGTGATGATTCACAGGTGATGGACCCAAGATAATCTACTAGCAATAAGAATATTGAAAAGAAAATAAAAATTGTTTATAGAAAATATAATGAAAGTTATTGCACCCTTTGGGTTTTCTTGGGATGGAGATGAAATGGACCAAAATCTCAATGTGTTATTTTTGTGCAACTATTATCCAATCAAAGTGCGAAACCATCGTTTCTTAAAATACATCTTGAATCTAAGCATGCCAATTTGTGGTTTGCAAAATACCGAAAAGAAAAGTTATTTGAAGTGAAATGTGATTGAGATCATATTTTTTCAAAGATTTTAAACTGGCTCATTAATTGCAAAATCGTTCCTTAAACTTATTAACAACGCTCTAATAAATACAATAAAAAAAAACTTGGGGAAAACATTCAAAAGTGTAGAAGAAATGCATTTTAATTGTTAAATTTAAAAAAAAAATTGCTGGCAAAATTTTTTTTTCAGCTTAAAATCATTTTATCTTTCAAAAGGATTTAGTAATATTCATGAAAAGTAGATGAACGTTCTTAAATAAAAAAAATCATTCAAAAGGTACCGAGCTCCCTTGTCGCGTTGAAGCCGAAATGCGCGTCTGGGCGCCTTAACTTTAATTTTAATTTGAACCGTATTTTTCGAAAACCCAGTATCAAATAACCTTGTCTGTACTTGTTTATAAACTTTCGTATCGCGTACCATATAATTTTTTTATCTCCAGATATCTATCAACGCGACTGTTTCGCTGACAGTCCAGAGAGAAGTCAGTTGCAAGTCAGACATGTTGTTTACTAAAATTAAGAGAACCGCGCATTCGCGCAGTGCAGTATGAAAAATCTTCCCAATTGTTCTGCTCCAGAGAGGTAGGAGCATTCTACCAACCTACCTCCTACCTCCAGTTCCTAGAGGCAGTCAATGCTTGTTCGCCATGTGAATGGAACACGTTGGAAGAACCCCCTCCCCCCGGGCGAATTTGCTCTTGTGAACGGAGCTTTGGTGAACGGATTTAATTCTTGACTCTTTAATTTCGAACCGCGTTGCATCCTCAAAGGCAGAATTCAGTTCGTTATTTTTAAAGTCCAAGGAAAGATTGTTTTTCCTTAGGAAGTCTAAACCGAGTGTGCAAGTCCGAATAATGTCTACCACATATGTCGTTGCAATGGTAGGCGACACTTCCAAACATTATATTTAACATTTAAATTTCCATCGTTGTCGATTCTGTCATCGGACACAGTCTGGAGGGTAAAGCATAGTGACGTCCAGATGAGTTTCCTTCCAGTCGTTGAGCCAGATCTTTTCGGATCATGGTGACATTGATCCCAGTATCGGTAGTCACATTGCAAGGAAATCCATTTATCTGTCCCATAATGAAGCTTCCATTACTGATGAAATTCATTATCGAAATTTGAAATGGGCCTTCTCAATACCTAGCAAACTTCACTCCGCAAGACAGTCACTAAATTGTGTCCTGCTTCCTTGCTCGGGAGCGGTCTTCCGTGTTCGTACGTGACTTTCACAACAGTTCCAGCACTTTAGGATGAGTTTTTTTGCCACTTTAAGGCATTAAATTGACTGTTTAAATCGTCTAGCAGTCCCTTGATCCTCTGGTTCCTGGGCTAGAGTAGCTCTGGCTGGGTGCCGGTCTCTACGAGTTGCTTGCTGGGTTGTCTCGTATTTCATGGGGTACACTAAAGCGCTTTTTAGGCCCTTGGCATCTGCCATTCGCAGGGCTTTCCGTATCTCAGGATATAAGATGCCATCAACGAAATACTTCATGGATAAGATTTCTCTTGTTTCTGTTGAGCAGTGCAAAAACGGCGAGGTGAGACAACCTTTCAATGTCCGTGGCTAGCTCCTGGAGTGTTTCCGCGAGCGTGTGTTGGAGAGATTTTAATTGACGCCTGCCATAATTTTTTAAACAATTCTCTTCAAATCGGAGCTCCAAAGCGCCATACAGAACTTCGAAATCTAGACTCTGGTTTTCGGGCAGAGTTTGAAGGATATTTGTTGCGCCTGCTCTCACAGAAGCGGCGAGATGGTAGGCCTTAGTTTTGGAATCCTATCCATTTGCTAGGAGAACTGAGTCTTGTAAATTTGCTAGGAGTTTTTACATCATATGTGGATAGCTTTATATAGGATCGATAACACACAGGTAGGAATTTAAAGCCGTCAGAAAACTTCCCAGCTGTCGCTATGAATTTCCTCAAGCTGTCAACTCCCTTGGCAACAGAAGAAATTCTGTCAGTGATTTGTTGCTCTACAGAAGATTCGATTTCTTGTTCGACAGAGAAAACTCTTTCTTCCGTTACTTTATTTTCAACTCTATTCTGTCTTTCATAGCTTCAAATTTGTTCTTTTTTTATGGCAGTAAGTTCTCTTTTCATTTTTTCTTGACTTGCTTCAATCTTTCCTTGACCTGCTTTCACCCTTTTTCTAACGGACTTGATGCTCCCTTCCATCTTTTCTTGGAATGTAGCAAAGATCATCATGAAATGCTTTATTTGTTTTTCCATGATTCTTGTCTCTGATACTCAGTCTCACTTCTGAAACAAAAAATTGTTGCCCGAGTGCAGGTTCGTCATTTATTGAATGTACACAGAACTGATAACAGCTTGATAAAATTTATATTGACTTAAGAAACACTTTACTATTCTGGAACTTTTCAGAAAAGTACTTGGACATATCATCTCATGATAGAGCATAGTCAGAAGCTGCTACTTCAAGCTACTAAGAACGTTGAATAAAAGTCTCAAATTAGAAAGCTCGCACAGTGATCTCTCAATACTCTCAGCTAAATTCTAAACTCTAATCTGAACTAAAGCTTTTAACTGCTGTTCTGTCTGATCTTATATAAGTTTCCCTTGTAACTGAGTAATTTCTAGTACCTTCTGTTTCTGGAAACACAATTACAGTTACATAGGTATTGCGAACCAAAATGTAGCCAAGCTTGTTTGCGTTTAGGGATAAAATATAGTTGGCAAAACCATCGCCAGCTTGGTGCTATGTCGCCTTTTATCTCAATATTAAATGGACTTACCGTTTAACTCTGTTTTTCCGGTGAAGCTTCGCACTCTTAAGTCCTTGTAACCTGGACGCCTATTCTATGATCACTGGGATCTGTCTACATCTGAAGCGAACAATATTGGCTCTAAAAAAAAAAAAAAAAAAAAAAACGGTATAGACAGCCATCACAACTTATCGGAAAAAGCCATTCTGTGGTCTTCAATTAGTGGGCGGGTGGGTCCATTTAACTTTACTGAAAGGGAATAAGGCTTCAAGGAGCTTTAGACCAATCGCAGTACAGACGAGTGACGAAATTTATAGCGCGCGCTGGCTGAAGTTCTAGGAATATTGTCCTATTATTTCACTAACTCACACGCTGCATTTGTAATTCGAAAAAAATTGCACAAAGGAAAATCCCGTTTTTTAATGGGAAAGTTAACGCAGGTATTTAGAGCTAAGAAATAAAGAGTGATATGGGATATCACTAAAGCAATGGTAAATAGATAAGAGTAAATGAATTAAGCTTACTTCAAATCCTTTTTAAAATAAACAATTTTAATCATTTAAATTTATAATATGATTAATTTGCATTACAATCTAATAGCAAACTAGTGGTTTTTTTTTTTTTTTTTTTTTTATGTTTTTTTATGTTTACATTAAAACTGTTTTCCCGGAATTTATTTTACAGTTACTATTGGAAAAATATTTTTTTAAATAAGAAATTAGAAAGACAATATTTCT